ATTAAATATTATAAGCGCTATATTGCTTAAGCAAGCACCCCTTAGTTATTCTAGTATGGGACAATATCTAAGGGCAGGGCAATCGTTTCGGTCTTGGTCCCAGATCCAGATTTCCAATTAAACAAAAGTCCTAAGCAAGCCAGACAAGTAAGGAAAGGAATACCATTATTCAGGAACTCTCAACTGCGGTATATGATACTGACCATAACTCCAATAAGAAATATTGATAGGAAGGTCAATTGACTGAAATTAACATGAAGTGATAAATCCAACTCCAAGATAAATGAGGAAAAACAAAATTATGATACCAAAGATTACAAAATAGACCCTTCAAAAGTTTCCTCCTTCCCTAAGAATTTAAAAAGTCAAAGTATGCACTGACATGTTTTAAGAAATTAGGATAGCAAAATCAAAGTAGATAACTTCGGTCAAAGTAAGACAGTAATGGCAACAGGAACAAAAAACTATCATGTAAAATGTAACAACGAAAAATACTAACAATCACCATTAAAGTTGAAGCACTAGTTGTAGCTTGAACTATACTTAGGAAGAGTATAAACAGTAATAAAAAAAAAAAAAGGGCCTGAACAGATTCAAGTGGCTGTTCTACGAAAACAGCTTAAAACTGTTTTTTTTTTTATTAAAAAAAAAAAAAGAGAGAGAGAGTTAGAGACCACTAGAAAAAAGGATATCAAAATTTGAGCAACAGTCAGCAGCGAAAGTCTCATAGTAAGTGCTAGGAATAACATGTCGCTCACTTGAATAGAAATCTAAGTTCTACTTTAAGCATGAAAAAGTTCACAGACTCCGACATTACTCAAAAGTTGCAGCAGAAAACATAGTGAGGAATGAAAATGTTTGGCAAAGAATTCACGTCTACAAAGGAAGTAAAATTCACATCGCTTCCCGAGTTCTTTAGGGGAAATCGTGAAACTCGACCATCGCAGCAGACAAATAACATCTCCCGAGTCGGAGGTTTTTCCGTGCGATGGTTCATCTTTACGAAGTCGTCGAAAAGGGAACTGAACAGGGATTTAGGCTGGAAACGAGCCCATTTCTAGTATCCGATAGGCCTACACTCTCCAAGAATGATCCCATTACTCCACCTTTTTTAAAAAATAATAATAACAATAATAAAGCTCACATTATCTTCATACGTACGTTGAATTATTAATTTATAAGTTATAATTTTGAATTTTTAAAAATTATAATTAAACAGATAAAAAGTTAATATTTATAGTTTATTATAAAGAAAAATAAAAAAACTAAGAAAATTAATAAAACAAACAGTAATGTAACTTTTTGTTGTGAAAATCATTGTTGCACAGCTGAGACTGAAATCCAATCTTTTTTTTTTTAATTATTATTTTGTTATTTAATGAATACATATTTTTAGAAAAAGTATATATTATAAGATGGCTAGAGCAGAAAGCGAGCAGCAGCCCTTGTCCCCCACCAACTCAGACGTCCATGTATAACAGCTATTGTAATGGCTATTAATTAGAAGACGATGTGGAGATAACCAAACAGATATATGTTATATATATATATATATATATATATATATATATATATACACATACACGCACACATACAATCTGTGAAAAGAACAGACAGCAATATTAGATTTGGTTTTATGCAATTTTGATATTCCGTGTGGGCGTCAAATACTTTTTTATAAGAATTCAATTCGGATCTTTGATATTTTTTTATTGCGCAGATAAATACGATAAGTCATTATGTTATAGAAAACAAAAGATAGCAATTAGATTTTTTTAATTAAATTAATCATTATTTATTAAAAAATTAATATGCTTTTTTAATATTTTTTGAAAATATATATATATATATATATATATGTTATTCTTCATCCAAAAGAAACATATATGTTATGCTCCTTTCTTAATTGCTCAAAAGCATGTTATAAGATAACAAATGTATATATAATAAGTGTTATATATGGTAATGGTAATAAGAATTAATTTGAGGGTAATTAATTGAATCAATTATAAATGCTTAAGCTATGAGTGCGTATAAAATATATCATTTTATACTTTTTTTTTTTTACCCCAAAGAAAAAAATTCTTACAAATTTTCGAAAAGGCCATTTTTGAAGTTTTATTTTTTTATAAAAAGAAAAAAAAAATACTCTCCAACAAATTAAAAAGGACCGTATCAAATACTCTTGAAGATATATATGTACAGAATTAAAAAATAATAATAATTGAGCTTTTGATCTTAATTTTATGAGATGACTATAGATGAGAAAAGATTCTCTGCTGATTCTCTGATGTTGCTCAATCATAACTTGGGTTTTAATCTCTCAGTTAATTCTGACCTGGTCAAAGGCTGAAGCTTTGGTAGAAATATTGCCCATCATGAATCATCACAATTACGTTAATCTGTGATTTAACTCAAGAAATTTTACTCTAATCCAATTAATTTTTTTTTTTAAATTGCCAAGTATTATTGTTTATTAAATTATTAATGTGAACATGAAAAAGAATTTTTAACAGTACCGTATAATTTTTCTACGTTGTAAAATAATTTTTTAGTAGTGTGTAATTTTTTTTTTTTTCAGGAAAAGCAAGTGTACATGGTATTTCCAAATTAACTTTCACCTTTACATCGTTTTCTCCCTTTCACATTCAGCAAAAAACTATTAGCGTCTCCCTCTCTCTCTCTCTCTCTCTCTCTCTCTCTCTCTCTTTCACTTTGAGTTTGACCCGTTGCCCGCCACCGGCAACTCTTTTCTCTATACCAATGGCGACCCCACCCTGCACTCTCTAGAGGATCTTCTTAGTTGAAATGTATGTTAGAGTCCTCTTTTTTAGAGCAAAAAGCTTAAATAACCTTTCCTCTCCTTCTATTTCTCTCTTTTCATCCTCTTCTCCCTCAAAACCCTAGTTCAGATCACACAGGAAGAAGAAGATCCAAGAAACCCTTTTTACTATTCATCACCTCATAGAAAGTTCCTTCTCCCTTCTTTTTAATTTCTTTCTATGCCCATCATCATTATCATTGAGAGATCTATAAATAAATATTCTCTCTTCTTTTGATGGGAAGTTTCTGCTGATCATCTCCAAGGGAAAGATAAGGAGAGAAGAGGGTTGATTGGATGCTCTGATTGCAGATCAATCGAATATCGAAGACGAAATACCTTTATTGATATGGCGATCGACTTTCTCAAAGCTGTTCTAGAAGCTATAGCTTTCCTTTCATTCAAATCTTGATTTCTTTTTTTTTTGTTTGTTTTTTTGGTTTTTGTTTTTTTTTTCTGCAGTATCCTTCTTCCGTAATTGCCAATATATGCTGTGCATGTACTTTGCCAACAACAAATCATCCCAGCTCTCTGCAGGTTTTAGTCTCTGCTCCAATTCTATTTCTCAAAGCCTTCTCTAATTGGAAGAACCCTTTGATTGGTTGTTTCAAAAACAAGCATGGATTCTGGGAATAGCGGGAGCATGCAATCTTCAAGTGGGGGTGACGAAGAGTATGATTCAAGAGGTGAGTCTGTGCCGGCTTTTTTAAACCCTTCAACCCACTTTGGTGGCTTATCAAACCTTCCACACCCCTCACTCTTTTCAGTACACCATCAAAGCCACCAACCCACTTTCTTTGATCCTCCACCGCCAAATTACCTCACCAACCCTTTCTCTCAATCTCATCCTCATACCTCAAGTCCCAATATTCCATTGCTAAATCTTGATCTTCTTCGTTCTACAACCCAAAGATCTGATCAACCCAACTGCACCAACCTAATTGCTAATCCGCCGGCTTCCTCCTCTTCCCCTCAGCGTCTCAACCAGTCTGCAATCCCGAGCTCATCATCTCAATCCAATGCTGCCAAGAACCCAAAGAAACGAACAAGGGCGTCAAGGCGAGCACCCACTACTGTTCTTACCACCGACACCTCCAATTTTAGAGCAATGGTGCAAGAGTTCACGGGGATCCCGGCACCGCCATTTTCAGGCTCATCCTACTCTCGCAGGCTCGATCTTTTTGGCTCTGCAGGCTCGGCCTTGCGTTCTGGGACTACTCACTTGGAGCCATTGGGGAATCTTTACCCTTTGCGTCCTGCACCCCAAAAGCTTCAACCAACCTCGGTCTCAACCTCAACCCCATCATCATCTTCTTCTTCTCCGTTGTTGGTTGATGCTACTAATATTGCTATTGCCAGTAGCAGTGGTACTAACAATACTAGTGCCCCTACTACTAACTCCATCAATGTTGTTGCTCCAACTAATACTTCCCTCGGTTCAAATTCTACCTACCAACAGCTGCTTCCTGCTGCTGCAGATTTAAGCTTGCAGAAACAGACTCTAAACATTCTTAGCATGCAGAACCAGAACCCACTTGTCTCATTCCAGTCCTTACTGCAACATCCACCTCCTGGACTTCAATCTTCTCTGAGCTTTCCTGGTTTTAGTGCAAAGTCTCATGGAACTTTACCCATACATTCTTTTGAAGGTGAACTGGGCGTCAGCCATGGAACTCATGTTGGTGGGTTAACGTTACAAGGTAATATGACGCATGAAGGGGACCGACTGAGCAGCTGGAGAGACGGGGTTGGATTAAAGGACGTAGGGAATCAAGATGATCATCAGTTGAGGCCTTTCGATGGGAGTTATGGCGGAAGTAATTCACAAAGGGTTAATAATAACAATAGCTGTAAGTTGAACTACTCAGCTTCTTCGTCGGATTTTCATCACCACCATGACAAGGGTTTAGAGAATGTTTCTTCAAGAGCTGAAGGTACAGTTGATTCATGGATTTGCCCTTCAGATTAGACATATGTATATATATATATATACACTTCAATTAGGAGAACATGACAGCATCATTGCAGAAGTTAGAATATTATCAAGACGGTTTTTGCTGCGTTGATCCTATATTGTCTTTTCTCTATAAACATTTCCCTTTTTAGCTTTTTTAGAAATAAATATAAAATTTTCGTCAAAATATTATGATATTGCACCATGGTGATTCCATTTGATACATATGTGATCATGTAGATATGTCATATATATTGTCTGATCTCTACTTTCTTGATTATCATGATTGAAGTTTGCATATTGGTAGTGCAACAACTACAGAAAATTTTCATTTTTGGGCAATATTAATTACCTAATGAAATAACCTTTTACTTGTAAAGGCCATATATATATAGATATAATATTTCTTCATTGTTGTGTTATCTTAATTATTTTCACCTTTCATGGAGGGTTCTTAAGGTTTAAGCAACTGTTTATATCTGCTACAAAGAGAATCTGTATTACAATGATAGAGAGTAACCCTCGTACCTTGTCTAAAGGAAGAAAATAAATAGGTGGGTACGTGCTGTATAATATATATAAAATAAAAGTTGAATTATTATATTTCTCTGAATCCCATCCCTTGGTCCTTGTCTAGTACGTGAATGGTCTTTCATGAATTTCTTCTCTGCATAATTGGCCATTCCCCTGTCTATTAATTAAGACCCTTCAAATTATACACACACACATATATATATATAGGAGACCAATTCCTTTACTTAATTAGGACCATTACTGTACGTGTCTGTTCTCTGCTTTTTTTAAAAAAAAAAAAAAATACTGAAATTGAATATGATAATTAGAAAATTTGAGATCGTGCATGAACAAAACATGTGGTTGTTAATAGTTTTGGTCATATCTCTTTCTCAAAGCGAAAGATGCCTAACAACAGGTAAGAAAAGACAACTAAATTGTACTCTAATAACATACATATAACTCTATATATATGTTTGTTAATTTAATTATTTACATATAACCAATTACTTAATCAGTGTAAACGCTAGCTGCCGAAACAAAAAGAGAAAAGAGAAGTGGATTTGAACTTTGAATAAAGTTGAAAGTCGAAAGTGTTTGGAAGCTAATTCAATCCTCTCGACTTGGCTGAAACTTTACATTTTCAATGCAAAGAAGTTTCAGACGGCGTCCAGTTTGGACACGTTGCTGTGGATTTTCTTTCGTGCTCCCTTTGCTCGGGGCATGTACGTATTTCTCCCGCCAACACAACCCAACTACTTTACTACATTTATTTATTTATTTATTTTTCAATTCCATCCGATGTATATCATCAATTGTTTATTAGTATAAATAAGTTAATACGTATTATTATAAAAATATAGCCAGCCATAGCCATAGGTAGCTAGCCAAATTTTTTTTTTAAAAAAAAAAAAAAACAATAACACTCATGATTATGTATCCTATTAATTAATTAAGAATCTATATCCATACATACATAAGAGACAGGAACAAAATGATGAGGGAGTGGTTAAAATATGATACGCTTGTGATCCACACACGCCATATGTGTATGTATCATGTATACATATGAACTACATGTAAGAAAAGGAAATTAAAAAATAAAAAGAATATTCTCTGCGTGGATGCATAGTATATCAAGGTGTGAATTTTGGTGTTTTTTTTTTATTTTTTATTTTTTAGAGGGTGCTCATGTTTTTTTTACTGAATTACCAAGGTTTCAAAAGATTTTACTTACATATTTACATATATGTACGTATTTATGTATGTAATATGTGAATATATGTTTACATATATACAGCACCAAGTGAATTGATGACATAGTAATCAGATGCCATGTACCTAAAAGTCAATGATCATTAACTCTTTTGCATTCGTTGATTGGCTGTCCTAGATTTCCCTCACATGGTAGATCTTAATTTTAGACTTTTAGGCATTCGTTAAAAATACCCAGATGGAATATAATTTGTAAAAATCACATGATCAATAGCCTATGTAAATCAGGAGGGTAATTATATATAATTAAGAGTTGATGATTAAGAAGAGAGTATGTTTGTGAATAATTGTGAAAGTTAAAAAAAGGGAATGATATGATTAAGCATGAGATTAATTAATATTATATATTTTATATATTATATATATATAGTGTTAATTATTAAATAAGTAAAAAAAGAATTAGGACATAATTAGTTGAATAAAATAAAAAAAAAAAAGAAATGGGGGAGGAGATGATTAGAGAGGATAGCAAATTGGGGGAAGAGGACATGTTGGGAGGATGTGGTGACATGTGAGTCTGTCTGTTTTGGAATCATGGTGGCCCATGCCAGAGAATAATCTGGTTTTTAGCAATCATCATTCTTCCTCCTCTCTATCCATCTACCACCTCTCACATGTGCCCGCTCCTCTCTCTATATATGTTTCAACTCACACACACACATTTTTCTTTTTTTTTTTTTTTTACCAAAATCCACCTCTTACCCCATATATATATATTTCATTATTTTTAAGCTAGACATATAAGACAAAATTAATATACATATACATGTATATGAAACAACACATGCAGTGATCTTTGACTCAAAGCCCCAAATAACCAAAGTTTTGTTTACATATAATACTAAAACAGGTGTGTATATATAATATATAATATATATATATATATGTATGTTCAATCAAAGAACCGCCCATGTACATTCGTTATTGATTAATAAAATAATTCAATTAATTGAGGCTGAGGGGGGAGGGGGGATAATATGTTACATGTAGTTTATATGTACATATGATTGATATATCTTTGGAGATAAAGTATAAAGCAAGCAAAATATGAAAGAGAAAAGGTGAAGTTGAGAATGAGATGATTAGATTAATTAAGATATATATAATATATGTGTTTATGTACATAATACTATTTATTAAGACCTGATTAGTCAATAATTGTAGTTTTTAATTTATTTAATGCTATATTATAATGGATGCGATCCCTTTCAACTCATGCTGCTTGATGGTACCTTTTCCACTTGATTATACATTAATATTTTGTTTATATTTATATTTATTTTTATTTTTATTTTTTATATCATGATATATTGATATGAAATTGATAAAGAATATATATCGTATTAGCATACGTAAGCAAGGATGAAAGTCAGAGAACAACAATTAACTCGTGCTTTAGACCAGTACCTGCAATGTTAGACCAGTTCATGCATACAAATATACATACATATATGATTATATCCGACGACGAGAGATATTGACTAATGCCTTCGCATTTCTTTTTTTTTTTTTTCTTTCCTTTTTTAAGTTTCGTAGACTGTGTTTTCATACGTGTAATTCACAGCACATGACAATACAACACACAGTAAAAGATACACACACTCACACATATATATATAATGTAATATAATATAATATACATGGCACCTGTACATACATAATTAGGGTTTTGGACCTTGACTAATGTAAAGCAGAATATTGTGCGTAATCAAAAGCAAAAAAAATGAAAATAAAATGAAATGAAGGAAAAAAGAAGAGAGGTTGGCATACATCATATTTGTGCGAGTTATGTCCGTGTCATGGTACAGTTAGGTAGCCTACCAGTGCTCTCAAGGACACAAAATTTAATCAAGTAGAAGTCTTATTATGTAGTATAGTTAGGTAACTGGCTAAATTAATATTCATATCTATACACACTGCTTTATCTGGACGTAGAAGGTTTGGAATTGTCAGCTATTAGAGGAAACCTTAGTAGTTCCTATAGAGATTCAATCCAACAAACAATACACCTTGTAGATGTGTATTGCTGACGGGATCAGTTTCTGATATTTTTCTCTTCCTTTCATCAGATCTCTCGCTATAAAAATTTATTCTGAAGGCTCAATTTGAAGCAGGTTCTCTTGCAGACATGGAGACATTATCTTTGTCTGCCCTAACGGGTCTAAAGTTGTTCTCATCAACCCCACATACTCCCCACTTCCTGCTAAACCATATTAACATAACATCAATGTTAATATCAATATCACAAACATTAACAACCAACATATATATTCACCTTAAAAATCTAAAATCTGATGCCTCATATATCAGTATATTTATGTCACGTTTCGATACTCGATATGAAGCGTAATTCTTACTCATATTATTTCATGCAGTGAGCACATAAAATATATACATATGTAGATCAAAAAAATATAATACAACTTAACATTTCATGTGATATGTACAAAAATTATATATACAAAATATGATGTTGGAATTTAGAATTTAACATAACAAAATACAACTTTTCGAATATGCACAAAATATACAAAAACAATAACTTTTTTTACAGGTTTCACTCGTCTGGCAGCGACGCTGACTCTTTATTCTCCTCTAAAAAATATCATGATGAAATTTAATGAGTTTTACCAATTCAATAAGTATTCTCGTTCTCTCAACCTAGATAAAATTTCATGCAAAATACACAGTAAAAAACAAAAACAATTAAAAATATTTCAGTGCAAAATTCATATTCTTATTTTCACTATTTCACATAATCTTATGAATTCTCTCGAATATCATATACAAACCTCAAATGTAT